AATCGCGACAGACTTTCAAATGTAATATGATAATCTTTTGCTTAGTCGTCTTTTTATTTAAATTTTGAAACCATACATGTGATATGAATACTTATAGTTCTGAAAATGTTTCTTCCCCTGCTATGCACTGTACGGACTGTATAGTGACAAATGTGTAATATATAGTGACATTTGCACGTCATGTTAATCGTTTCTAGAATACGAAGACCCCAAATATATGTATATATATGTGTGTGATTAAGCTGTGTAACGATTGTTGATAACTTGATACCTTGTTAATTAAAATAATTAAAATTCCAGTAATTTTATTGTCATTGTTTGAAGTAGTTTCAACATTTAATGTCATCGGCAAAAACTCGCCAAAAGCAGGGATCGTTTATTATTTCTTGAAGAATTGTTGCTACGATACACCTGATAATCTTTTAAGATATCAAATGTTGTCTTATTAGCTTATCCGTAATGATAATTGAGTGACGATCTATATTGGTTTCAATGAATGTCGGCGTCGTTGTCGTTGTCGTTGTCATCACTGACACTTCTCGTTGCCAGGAGAACTCGAGTATTTTTCTCAAACCTCAAATTATTATCGATAAAATATATAACTCAAATATGCAATTCATGTTTGGTACAACTGGCTTATGTATTTTTTGGAGACATTGATGAAAATGTGACTCATTAGCTTAAGCAGAAAGAGAAAGTTGAATGATTGAATGTATGTTTCCGAGTTATTGAGTATTAAGTATAAAAAAAGAAAACAACTTGAATACTAAGAATTTAGAGGATAATCACTTTTATTTTTACATTGCCTGTATCATTTAATTTAAGGTTTATGAGGAAATGTCTGTATTCAACATTTTTTTGTGTTAGCTATATTAGCTATATAGTATAATTTTCTTGGTGTTTGAAAATTGAGCTAAAATAAATAAAAAAAAAATGACACAAGATATATGTGAAGAAATGAAGACATATAACTGCTGATTATGAGATGTAAGTAATATATACGTCTATGTTTTTCTTACCAAAATATTGATATACTTTGAGAACTTGTATGCCGTTAATGTCACATTTATGTACATTATTTTGAAGATTTAATTCAAGATGGTCGAACGATGTATCGTGTTTCAAGGATTATTAGAGAGCTTGCAGTTATTTAGGGAATATAAATAAATCATGACAATGGCGTGCGATATTATATCCTTAGCCCACACATCTCTACTTATTTAAAAATGAAAATCCAGTAAACACCCACGACAATTCCAGCTCCCCCTCCCGAGAACTATACTCATGTTTCTCATAATTTGTAAGTCATTTTTTGTGTTTGTAACCATTATGACACAAATTGCATCATAAGTTACAGCATAGTTCACGATCCTCTACAGGTTAGGTGTTCAATAGTTTTACTATGGTTAACTGTAACTTTTTAGCGAACGTATATATTCCTGCACAATACGCACTTGTTTCCCCTCTTTGTGAAAACTGTGAAAATATCATTTTCGAATATTTCGCCCTCAACCAAGGAAATGGGGCATTCATGACTCTTGACAAGGGTCAGTTGAAAACCATGAAGTTAGCAGTCAGACAATACAAATTAAATAAAACACTTGTTTATGTAAATATAATAGTATCATCACGTTTCTTGGCCCCAAACAATCACGATGATAATGACAACCTGACACGACTTATTCGCTACTTACCGTACATTGAATTAGTCCGCCAATTGTATGATCTCCAAAATTGTTGATTTCCGATAAAATTGTATTTTATAACCCAAGACATCTGAGTCGTTGTTTTTTCTGGTTTTATCATGAAGTAAAATAAAGTACTAATTTTACATATATTACTGTTTGAAATAACAAATAGGGGATACACAATTACACAATTGATTATTAGATAAGCAAACGCGTGAAATATATAAAATATTTTGGTCGGAATGTCAAGTTTTTGAAAATGTGATCGCCTGAATAGAGTTTGTGGAGTTATGCATCTCCGATACACACGTTCAAATTTATCTTTTGGTGTCCAAGTTTGGTTTGTAAAACGCATTTGCTACAGAGAATATAATCCGTGACTAATTGCCGCCATCGCATAATACGAACGATAACAAAGTGATATAGATTTGAAGTGTCGTTCAGAATTTGATAATAGTTAATACCCGTTGTATCCCTAAACCATTTCGACCACTCCTGTGACAGTGATCAGTGTTTGGGCGACCGGTCGGTGTTTTCAATGAGCCAGCGAGAAGAAAAAAACGATAAAAATGCGGTCGTTTTCCGGTCGGAAAATACCGTGCGGTCGGAAATTAAGCGATAAGCGATCGATTAAAAAGTGGGAAGTTGGGCGAAATGAGTACTGTAGTGTATCTTCACTTTCAGGTTAGTTCTTCTGCCGATTTCTCGCAACCAACAATGTGAATTTTTATTTGGGGTTTCGAGAAACATAACATGAATCGTTATGGCATTCATAACACAACATTTCGCCATGTTTCAACTTTTAAGTAGTCAGTTAACAAGGTTTTTCATAGTAGCATTTCTATGGGATTGACGTACTAGCATGAATGGGTTCAATTATCAGTGTTCACTGATGACATCATTTGACTGGCCCTCTAGAGGCCAAATGACACCAGGAAAAGCGGACGTTTGTCGTCTGCTTCACAGCCCGTTTTATACCCGATATTTAGGGCATTTCGCAGCACATACAAGTTGTTTTTATTGCCAGAATTCATTCATTGATCTCAAATTTCATGTACAGAGTGACTAAAGCCAGAGCTCTTCTCCCCTTGAACGGTCAAGAAGCAAATATAACAACCCCAAATTTATCTTTGCATAAACCAACGCGTTTGCTATTTCTTATATGATTTTATGCAAGCTATTCTCCCAAAAATCCTAATAAATTACGTATACGTACAGTGATAAATTACGTATATGATTCAGTCACAAGTGTTGTCCTAATACCGTTCATTCCCGGCTGTCGCGTTCGAGTTACCGACATGCGCAGTTTAATTATCTTAGAGCAAGTTACGCGAATGCGATGTCTTGTTGCACCGAACATTATTTCGTAATCTCCTTTCGAACTTATTCTTAACTAATAGCATCACAGAAGTTCTTTTCATCAGCAATGACGTAACTGCATCTCATATTCTAACTTATGACGTCACTATTCGGCAATTTACACATGCGCAGTCAGTGGAATACAAGTATAGTTATATTATAATTCGGAAAGAAGATTGTGGCAGTGAATCGCTACTCAGAAATAATCCCAGATTGGAATTGTTATAGTATTTTTCTTTATAGGCATCAGTTTGTGGGGAACGGCCTACCTTAAAGCCAGGGAGTCGTCACCTGCGCATGCGTCAGATGGCCATAGCGTATCATTGTTTACAAACAATCATGATCCTTTGCGTTTTTTGCATGAAGTGTACATCATGTCATCGCCGTTTGGGACTCAATTCACGCGCATGCGCAGGTAACAACCCTCCCGCTTTAACGTTCGGCATTACATATGCAAAACTTGGTTGAAATAAATAAATACAAAATTAACAGAATTTATTGGAGTCGGTTTCGTCACAATTTCACAACGGCCACGGAGTGTTAAATGCGTTCATAGGGGTATCAGTTACTAACACTGGAATTAATTTCTTTTTAATTGTCTGTTCATCCATATCTCCCGATCAATCAAATCTGTGCTTGTTTGATTGAATGTCGCAGCTTTGGCATCCGAGTTGAAAGATTTAATTTAGTCCTAGCTCGAAAAAAGTACACGCGATACAGTAACTAGTCTTCTAATCATGACGCAAGTACCTTTATGTTAAAACTTTTAAGTGTTTTTCAATCCGGGCACGTAGGTAACAAAATATTCTTCACGACCTAATTAACGATTATCACGGAGGCCACCGCAATTTTATTCATATAATCAGATCACGCCAAATATGATTTGATAGCCAATTGAGGACGCATTCAACGTGGCGTTGTTACTAGGCTAATGAACATAATGTCACCACAGCCCCCGCCCCTCCATCCGACAGTCACGTGTCTTAGCGAATTGCTGTGATATGATATACAGCGCCATAAACGTGACGTAGAATGTATGACTTTTGACCCCGTATAAGAACATATGCTGAAATACTATGCCGTGCGTGACAGGCCCAGGCGTGGCTTTAAAGTCGTAAAACCGGGACATATTTATCCACTAAAAAGCCACTCCCCGGGTCAGTAGCGACCAGGTACGAGTGCACCTAACAAACTGTCACAGGTGAATGAACACCGATTGACGGATCTCGGTAAGTAGTAGTTCACCTACGTAGAACTTACACGTACGTATTGCTATGTGTGTTTATATATTGACATAAGCACGTGTTATCTTAATCGTATATGTTTGTCTGCCTAGTGTCTTTCCGTACAACCACCTGATGAGCATGTATCGGGGTGGAACAAATAGTTTGGCTAAATCACCGGCCTTGGAAAACCAATTGTTTTGCGATAGATAAGGCGTGGTGTTCGTCACGACGCGACGTGTTCGATGTATGTCCCATACATCGCGTGTCTAGCGAATGTTTGCGTGATATTAGAACGCGCTCTAAACGCTAATTACCACCGCCTTAAAATAAATAAATAACAACGCCGTGTTCCACGAGTAGAAACTGCATGATTTTAAAATAAAATTTCGTTCAAATTTGGCGTGTGGTAGAATATATGCATGTATTTGTCTACAGTGTTATCACACCCCGTACCACTTCAGTTCTACTCGTATTTGTTAAGGTATGTGTAAAAGGTTTGAGTTCAAGTACTTATACAGCAATATATTAAACTGTGTAATGTTGTTTATTGGTAGCGGAGATGGAATGACAATTAAACCTAGTTCACCGTGCATATTGTTACACAGTCACTTGCTAAAATACTGTTGTATCTAGAATGGCACTCACAGACCCAAGCTAAGCTTCTACCCATTATATATTGCGCCAGGATAAACGCAACAAACAATACACAAATACGAATTTTGCGTAATGTGCCCGACACTGCTAAAAACCTGGAAAAATATCGTTAACCAATTATATAGTGTATATTGCAGTGTATATATTTAGTCATGCGTGTGACATTACGTTCGCCGAGCGCATATTTTGAATTATCCATGGTTTGCATCATCGTCCGCCGGAATCGCATGGTTTGCTGGTGCCGACTCATTACCGACTCCACTAACCCGTGCGGGATCAGCCTGGGTAAACGCGTACTAGTATTTTATGTTAAACAAATGGCCAAGTTTGATTGGATGCGCCTGTTGGAAAGGCGCCCAATCAGACGCTGTGTAACATTACGCGGTAACCTAAAGAACAAAATGTCGGAAATAGCGACGTGTAGCACGGTTACTTAAAAATTCTTCTAGTAACCGTGCGTGTAGAGTGTTTTTAATTTCACCCAGTTTTCAAATTTTTTTCTTTATGCCAACGTTGCAGGATTTTTGTGGCATACTTCGTCAGCAAAGTGACAAATATTTATGTCGACCAAAGTAATAAATCTATCAACTCTGAAAGAAAATCTCAGAAACTCTAATCGACTGATCATTCAAGAGTTCAACTGTTTCACAATGTTCGTGATTTGCCATTCCATGTCATCTTTTTCAGCTAGCAATTCCCCAATTGCATGGTTTTGGTGATCGGTGAAGCTTTTTATCTTGAAAAACTGCGTGATCTGTTCTGCTTGGGTCGCTTTACTGTATTTTGATACATGGTAGCTAATTGGCTGTTTATTTTTGTTGCGTCTCCCCCCGCCTTGACGTTAATGGCGTCTATTAAATACACACTGTAATGGTTCAAACTGCCAAGGGTTCATTGGTACACGACACTCACGCAATTCTCGTCACTGATCCAATGATACCAGTGTCTCCTCCAAATACGACAATGTATTTGCGGCATTTATACAATGGTATAAAATAATTCAATGTGTGGATTTAGATGAACCAATGCCACCATGCACGTCACAATAGCATTTACGATGAGTCACCTACTGGTTATCAAGTAACAGTGTTTCAGTTGGTTGCTACGCTACCAGGTTCACTGTGCCCTCCACCCATGATAGTGTCGCTACTTTGGCGTCTCTGAGGTATTTAGTCCAGTATGTCCTTATCAGTTGTGTACAAGATCTAATTTTGTTGCATATATTGAACTAATAATCACAGTTGTACGAAGTTTGTCCGAAGAACTGAATGTTTTGTATATGAGTTGATGACGTTGCAATTCAAAGTACGTATGATATATGTTTATCTGAATGTAAGGTTTGATCTGATTGTGGAGGCAATATAATGTGTAACACTGTATCAATGACTGACACAGAGTGGTACAAATAACTTGAATCGTTTCAAGATACAACGGTAACATATGTGTTCATAAACAATCAGGGAATCTGGTACTTGTGATATTTCAGTCGTGCTGTTCTGTTTGATGAAATCTTTCGTCGTTTTTGAATATAGCAATTCGCTAAAAAAAGAAAATCATCCGTGTTTTGAAATATTAAATAAAAATATTACTACGTCATTATCGTGTTTTTTTTTTTGTTATTGGTTCTTGTAAACGTAATCAATCAACAGTCTTTGATATAACCGAGTGTCACGCAATGTGCAACCGATCCGATATGTGAAGACACGGGCAGTAATTGGTCATGAGCAATTTGTTAAAGGGCGATGGTCGTCGCGTCGCGTCCTGGTCGACATGGGACTTATAGCGACGTGCGCAACGCGTGTAAAATACATTGTTTGTTTACATGAAATTCGAACACGCGCTGCGCAACGACCACCGCGCTTTAATATTGCGGAACACGTGACCGTGAAATAACCAAGTGGTGCGTCTATACATGATCCAGGGGGGGGGGGGGGATTGGCACGAGAGGGCGCCATCCGATCTGAATGGAACGTTTCGACGCCAGTCGTCCGTAGCCCATCGTCAAAGCAACAACGTCCCGTTTACGAACAGATGAAATAATTTCAGCAATTTCTTTACAAAATAATCCTCAACAAAACATAGAAACATTTCATAGACAACTACAGGCTCCAAAATTATGTCTATT